AAAATGCAGCCACAGAAACATCCTCCCAGTTGGAAGAACACAGTAACAGCAAAAAAATATATATGCAAAAATATATATATATGCAAAAATAATACTTAAAAATGAAGACTGAAATGTAGATAAGTCAACAAAGGAGTATTGTCTTAGCACATGGGAAAGGAAGAAGCACAAATTGAGAGTGAAAAAAGTCTCTTTCAAATGGGTTATAAAGAAAATATTTTTGAATTAAGAAGTAAACTAGGGACTTCAACTTGGTACAAGTTAAGTGGGTATCAAAGATAGGGCAGAAACGGTCAGAATTCAACCACAAGTAAATATGATCCAATAATTTAGTACTAGGTTACAACTCCTGAAATCTTGCAAGTCTAGGTACTAAATAGCTCTGGTCATGCTTTTGAGTGGTATGTATCTAAACATAGCGGTAGGAATTAAGATGGCACTAGCTTAGGGGAGAGGGCAGATGCAATGGCTTAGAATCACACAGGAGTTGATAAAGGAGAACATTGTAAATTTCACTGGCTTGACAAGGGATCCTGGTGAACCCTTGTTTAAGCACAAGTGATTTTTTTTTAATAGAAAATATTGAATTTCTATATTTAAACAAAGAGCTTTTCCTGTTCTCTAATAGAAACTCAAAGAAAAATCACAAGCCTAGAACTGGCATTTAACAATGAAATAACATGTTTCTTGCAACATGTTATGAGCTTCCAAGAGCAGCACAGGAAGAAGACTCACCAAACATATACCATATAATGGTGACATTCCTGAGAGGAGGAGACCAAGATTCTATTCAGGGATTAGAATAAGCAACACAGTAACTTTTCTTTAAGTTTGCAGAAGCAATCTCCTTCATGCTTTTTTCAATATGAAAAGTTAATGGACAGTAAGTTTTTGGCAGAAAAAGAATAACATCATCCAACATGTTAACATCCCAAAACTGAAAACTACCTGAAAACTCTGCTTTTAAATGGGCAACACACACACACACACAAAATAATCTAAAATAAAATACAAAATAAGCAAACAAAAACAGTAGTTTATGGAAAAGCACTGCATATGTTGCAGATTCATAGGCAATATTTTATATTAAATACTGTAAATATCACCCAAATTGTTAAAATTTCTTAAAAATTTCTCAAAACTATCAACCATTATATGAATATAATCTTTTACTTAAAAGAACACTCTCATATTTTGCAGTTTAGATATTTTAATAGTTTTATTTGGCAAAGAGAAGCCTAAGAATTTTTTAAAAAACATTTCTAGAGGGAACACCCTCTACCATAAAATAAATTTGTTTAATTTGGGAGGACAAATGTATATTTTTGACATATGTGCCAATTTTACAATTAATACAAAAAAGATAAAGTTAGTTGAAATATTTTAAAAATGTAAAAACCAGTCCAGGCAACATAGCTATACAATCTTGCTGTAAAAGTTCTTATATCAAATTCCATTCAAAATATCTATGCAGGATACTAAATTCAATTGCTCAAGTCACTCTTTACTGCCGGCTGGCTTTTCCATTTTCTGTTGTCTCCATTCTGAAAAATAGGAGGGGAGAAAAGTGCTGGTAAAATAAAATATTCATTAACTACCCATATTTTTTCTCCTTATCTAACTTTTAAATGAAATTAAAATCTAATATAGTCACAGAACAGAAGAATATAAGCACTTTAGAAAAGGACTAACTTGAGGGTTCCCCATGGTTAAACTTCCTTGTTTTGCGCAAATGGGTGAAACTGAGGGAGGCCCAGAGAGATCATGTGACTCCCAAGCTTTCATTTCAAAGGCCACTGGTTTTTTTTCACTATACTGCTCAAAGTAAAACTACAGGAAAAAATCTCTACCATTTAGACAAGAATTTATTTCCTTTTCTACTGAAGAAATTTCTTTATCAATACATTTTTAAGAGAATTTCTTCTAAAAAAGCAATTAAAATAACCGTTTAAATTATTTTATATTTATCTTAATAAATCTTCAATTATTTGTAGATTTTGGATTTATTCAATTAAACTCAATATTCCTAATACTGTACTACTTACTAGGAAAATAGTTTCTCCCTGTCATTCTATACAAGGGTCAGTGCTACACACTAAGTTTTCTTTATGATTTTCCCTCTATGATGTTTACTGAACATTCATGGTTACAATAAACAGTATCAGGTCTCTTACAAGCACCAAAAATTTAAGAAAGTGATTTTTTTCCTCTTTTTAAGCAACATTATCAAAACTGCTGAACACAAAAAACAGGCAGTGTTTATTTTTTAAACTTATTATAATAAGGCAATTAACAAAACTATTTCTACAATAATTAATACAAACCCATTTTCCTCTTTAAGATGTTGATATAACTCAGCTCTGTTATTAACAGAGTTCAAACGTCCAGCAAACTCCTGATGCTTTCTGGAATTGGCAGTGTTGATTCTATTACTCCATAATGATAATAAGGACACTGGCCCTGGTATAATATTTGAAAGAAGAGAAAGAAAGTAGAACAATTCATTACTTCAAAGTTTACAAATTTACCCCTAGTTCTTGTTCACTTTATGTGAATTTAAGCAATATCATCTTCCTTTTATTCTAAAATTTGTATGTGTTTGGGGATCTCCAAGACCACCTACTAGAGTTCAGTGATTTGCTAGAAGGACTCAAGTAACTAAAATTAAAGTTACAGTCATAGCTAAGAATCATTACATCAGCACAGTAAGAACACACAGCCAGCCCAGTGTGGCAGAAAGACACAATAGGCAAAGACTAGAGAAATCCATCTGCAGGCTTTCCATGTTCTCTCCTTCCCATGAGGGTTCATACAGAGTGCATACTCCCTCCAGCAGCAAAAATGCAGCCATGTGTGTACAATATTTCAGAAAAGCACAGAAAATTAAGATTCAAGAGTTCCAAGTTTTTATAGAGGCTGGGCATATATGCATTTTCTTCCTAACTACAACTACCAAAATTCCAGACTCCCAGAAGAAAAGCAGGTGTTTAATTCAGATGTAACTTCATCATTTGGGGAATATTTTGAAAGCCATATTCCCAGATGTCAGCCAAGGGCCAAACATGCAAGCAGGCTTTTCTAATGATGACAGCCTCCGGCCTGCTCTAGTTAACTCTTTTCTGTACAATATGAAGAGGCAAAAAACATTCCCTAACACCATATACAAAAATAAACTCAAAATGGATTAAAGACCTAAATGTAAGACCATTAACCATAAAACTCCTAGAGGAAAACACAGACAGAATACTCTTTGAAATAAATCATGCAATGATTTTTTTCTGATCTGTCCCCTAAAGCAAAAGGAACAATAAACAAATGAAGCCTAATTAAATTTAAAAGATTCTGCACAGCAAAGGAAACCATCAATAAAATAAAATGAAAACCTACTGAATGGGATATAATACTTGCAATTGATATGACCAGTAAGGGGTTAATATCCAAAATATATAAACAGCTCTCACAACTCAACATCAAAAAAAACAAACAACCCAATTTAAAAATGGGCAGAAGACCTGAATGTGCATTTTTCCAAAGAGGAAATGCAGACAGCCAACAGGCACATGAAAAGATGTTCAATATCCTCAGTCATCAGGGAAAGGTAAATCAAAACCACAATAAGGTATCTCCTCACAACTGTCAGAATGGCAATCATCAAAAAGAACACAGATAATGTGAAAGGAGGTGAGGGAAGTCTTTCCTGAAAAAGTAGTTATCTAAGTTAAAATCTGAAATGATATTCATTAGTGAGAGGGAAGAGTAGACATTTGTGACAATAGTAATTCTAGGGCTTTATAAATTCCACCCTATGGACACACCATCATTTAAGTCATTCTCTTACTAATACATGTTTCAGCTGCCTGCAACATTTTGTTACTACTAATAATTTTTAGAGTTGTATTTTCCAAACAATGTTGAAGCACTGTTTAGAATAAACCTAAATTAACTGCATCCTAATCAGCAGTGGCATATGAGTAACAGGATAATTTACCAAGAGACATTTATTTAAAGCCTATTATTTTCCAGGTACCCTGGCAAATGCCTGAAAGACAAATTTGATAAGATTGCTTCTAACTCTGATTTCAAAGAAACTAGTAAACTGGAGAATATTAAGATGTATTACAATATATACTACAATAGTAGTACATAAAAAAACAAACAAACCTCTGTAGGATGAGGTAACAATAACTGTAACCTAGCCAGCCTTGAGGTCTTTCTGTATTAGTAAGGGTACAGTGGTTAAAAACCCAGTCCTTTGTCATACCATTTCCCATTTACCCTGAAAAAATTGAATTTAGTTTACCTTCAAGATAACTAAGGCCTACAATAAAAAGCTATGACCAACCTAGATAGCATATTTAAAAGCAGAGACATTACTTTGCTGACAAAGGTCCATCAAGTCAAAGCTATGGTTTTTCCAGTAGTCATGTAAGGATGTGAGAGTTGGACCATAAAGAAAGCTGAGCGCCAAAGAACTGATGCTTTTGAACTATTGTGTTGGAAGACTCTTGAGAGTCCCTTGGACTGCAAGGAAATCCAACCAGTCAGTCCTAAAGGAAATCAGTCCTGAATATTCACTGGAAGGACTGATGCTGAAGCTCCAATCCTTGGGCCATCTGATGCGAAGAACTGACTCCTTAGAAAAGACCCTGATGCTAGGAAAGGTTGAAGGCAGGAGGAGAAGGGGACGACAGAGAACGAGATGGTTGGGTGGCATCACCAACTTGATGGACATGAGTTTAAGCAAGTTATGGGAGTTGGTGATGGATAGGGAGGCCTGGCGTACTGTAGTCCATGGGGTCGCAAAGAGTCAGACATGACTGAGTAACTGAACTGAACTGAAGTGACATCAGGAGCCGTGAGCAGCTCTTCCTCACACAAAATATAGAGGACTCTGTACAACAGAACTAAATTGGAAAACTTTTTACCTAGTTACCACAGTTCTGCCTTACCTTTTGATTTTTCTACTGGTGGAGTTTCATCCATCTCAACAAGAGGCTTTTTATTTGGAGGTTCTGGGGAATCAGGTGAATCTTTTATAATCTCAGCTTCAGCCAGCTCTTCTTTCCCACGTTCTAAGATTCCTTTTAATCTTTCAGAGGGACAAATAATAAAAACTTACACATTAAAAAGAAACTTTACAAGTTTACATTCTTAGAAATCTAAACGGCTCAGTAATTAAACTAGACTTTGCAAATCAGCCTTATTAAGATATCTGCTCTCACAACATAAGTCTAGGAACAAATCAGGAACAAATCAGAAGCTATCCCTCAGTCTACAATCAGGTAAGAGAACTTAATGAATATAAATAAAACTTTTCCTTTTTCTTCATCTTAGTGTCATTATTCAGTAATGTTGTTGGCTATAAAATGGCGCTAAAATTGTAAAAAAGAAGGGGAGGGGGGAATTTAGGAAGGTAAAATGCAAAAGATCAGAAATAATGTGATCTTTGGAAAATAATCCACAATTTTAATTTTTCTAAAGATATGGACAAAACACTATTTCAAATTAGAACTAAGATTAAGAAATCGACTAGAATTTGTTCCCACTAGTTTATGTACTGTGAAAATATATTTATGTTCCATAAGTTAGGAACTTAACTCCAAGCTTATCTTGAATTTCATGTTTGAAGATCAATGGGATCAGAATGAGAATACTCTTCCCTCCTCTTCTTAAAGCAAGACAATTTTGTGTCAGAAACTCAGCAGCCCTAAGGAAGAAGTGAATTTCTAAGGCCAAAGAGAATAAAAGTGTTCTGCCTACTTATGAATGAAATAATACTTATGAATGAAGCTAATACTTTTCAGTATTAGCTTCAAAATATTCACATGGGGAAAGTAGAGGGTGGTGATGGTGAGGGGAATGGATGTGGATATATATGAAATGAGGTCTGCTACAAATTGATTAACTACTGAAAGCAGGTAATAGGTGACTGTTCTATTGCTGCATATGTCTGAAATTTTCCATGTAAGTTCTGCTTTTAACTATTGCCATTACGATAGTTACCTGGCTCTTTGCCTGATTTCTGGCAAGGAGGCAGAAGATGAATCCAACTAATACATCATATTTTTTATTTATAAATGTTTATTATTTTTTGTTTTTTTCAAATTTAACCTGACAAATGAGGAAGGTTTCCAGAATAGGACTATGATCTTCTGTGCTTTCAAGTGTTTTTCCTATGCTTATTTTTATAGCAGCGTCTTTCAGATTTTGTTATAAATTGTTCACTTACTTGGTCAATCTCTACAAACACTGTTCATCCTTCCAGGGTAGGGATCTTATGCCAGTGTGCATAACACATAAAAGCAATTACTGATAACAAAAATCATGTATTATGATTTTCATAAGTTAATTAGGAAGAATTAAACACTACCTTTGCTGTTAAATAGCAAAAAAAGAAAAGAAAAAAACTCTTTTAAGGCCAAGAAAGACCTTCCAGATTTGAAGAATAATAAAATAACAGCTATAAAGTCAATAAACACATTAAATACATTACTATAAATAAGGTCTGAATGTTCAAATGTGTTACATATAGAATGTCATATGATAGAAGCCACCACGAACTATGTTAATATCAACAAATCACCTCTCAGAATCTTGCCAGGATTTCTCCTGTTCATAATCTTTCACTGCTTTCTCTGACTTGTCCTCTTTGTCCTCCCTCTTTCTTCCTCGTTTCTTTCGTTCTTCTTCTTCTGGGGGTTTGCTTCTACATGCCATTAGACATTCCAAGACTCTTTGATGTTTCTCGGAATTGTTGATATGGGCTCTGACAAGGGTTTCTAATTCATTCCACATGATACGGTACTGCTCATCTCTAAAGTAAAGATTTAAAAATAATGTCCTTACAAAATACTCTTTAAATAATATCCAAGTGTCACTTGTTAATGATGAAGTTAAAAGAGATAATTAAACATGGGCTTCCTTTCTCTTCCAGTGGTGCAATTCTAACTGATAATGTGTCTAATTCATCTATTTTATGTTTTTTATAATTTCACCTTAATCCTATGTATGTGTAGATACACACTCCCAAACACATAATTTACATGTGGAATAAGTTAGCAAAAAAACCCACAAACAAATCAATAAGCCTCAAGTAAATGTGATATATGAGAAAGAAAGAAAAAACCTACCTTTTAGGGCCTTTTCCTCTTGTACCAACTGTGGAAATAGGCAGAGGATCGTTTTTTCTTTCCATATCAACTAAGTTGTATATTGTTTTTTGACAGTTTAACACATCTTCTTCTGTCAAAGACTCTTTCACAATAACACTGGCTAATGGAACTACCTGTAAGATTCCCAAAAAAAGGAGAGAAAAAGAAAATCTGTCATGAAAAACAAGTATCAAAGCATCTAGACAGAACTTGAATTGATTTTAAACATCACCATGGAGAGCTAAGCTATTACTATCATTTCCATTTTCTATTGTTTAACTGTTACAAACTCATATAATTTTATTTTTTGCTTGATAAATGTTATCAATAAATGATATATCATTAATCCAAAAGGAAAACAATTTCACACTTACCGCTTGCATATTAAAAATGGTGGTTTGTGAAATAATCATAGGCCAGTAACGGGTGTGCTTTTCTAACTGATCTTTCGCTCGTTCCAAAGGGATCTCAAGACTTCCATCGATTTTATATCTGGGGTCTAGAAAAGGAGTTAATCTGTTTTCCCTCATAAATTCACCAAAATCCTAATGATAACCAAATAAGATAAAATTAGAAACTATTTTCTAGTGTTTCAGTGTGGATTACATGTAACAGTCTGTTCCCCTGATGTCTTCTGTCCTGTGATATACAACAAAACATTTTCTCTAGCAGCCCACCCTCCACACACTAATTTTTTCCTTTCTTTTTGAACATGAAATCCAGCCTTTACTCAATGGAGATTAAGAAAGCCTCAAACATAAATACATTCATGGTTTCTTCCACTTTTTAAAACCACTCGTTTTTTCTTCACATCTATAACATATCTCTTTTCTATTATATGCAGATAAAAGAATAAGTTCATCACATTAAAATACCATTCTACTTAAAAATTATAACAACCTCAAAATGTTAACAGTGTTTATCTTTAATGATGGAATTATAGGTAATTTACATTTAATTGTTCACATTCACATTTGTTATAACCACCTTAAAAAGTAGACAGTCATGAAATATCCAATATAATAGATGGGTAGGGAGTGAAAAATTCAAATCAGAACAATACAGTCTCTATCAAAAATAGACCCAATTGCCCTGTATGTACCTATCAATAACACAAAAATTGACAGTGTTATTTCAAAGTAGCAGAATCCAAGCTTGGCACTTAAGTTACTAGAAATTAAAATTCAGCCTAAGGTATTAGTTCAAATCAATTTCCATTCTTTCCTATAATTACATCCTGTCAATGCTATCCATATACATCTCAGCATACACTGAATACATGGGGAAGATGACACAGTGATAAATAGCTCTTTTGATCAAGTACTGCAGGAAATTCACCTAATTAAAATAATAATAAAAATTCAACTTCTCTAAACTTCTGCTACAGGTCTTAGCATACAATAGGTCCTCTACATGTTTGCTGAATGATCAACTCAAAATTTATAAATATTAGAGTCTTACTGTAATCCGGTAGTCGGTAACTCTTCCTCCACATCCTTCACTAATTGAAGGTGGATCTTCTAGAATGGATCGAGAACTGCTAAGAACGTGCAAAAAAATCTCTCCTCCATGGCTACTAAGCATATGACTAATAACTTTGGAACCTGACTTTCGTGGTTGTTCCAATAAAACAGAACGGCCTGTCAAAAACAAGATTACTCTTATCAGTGATGGAATTCAAGTGGCTCTTAATTTTTCCCATAAGATTGACATCTAGATTTTTCATTTTACTTATTGCCCTTCACATTGTAACTAACATTGCTAAGTCAGTCTATCTTCATATGAAGTTCTAAAACTTTGAATGCTAGCCTCAGCCTTCTCTTGGTTACTCCGAGCTTACACAGGTGTGTAGCACAGTTTTTCAGAATAAGTATAGTGGTCTCTGGTATGTTTGGTTTCCTTCAGTTACAAGTTCATATAAAAATTTTTTCCCGAATGTCAAGAAAAAGGTGGGACAACTCTTATATAACCCTCAGATTATCAAAGCTAAAAATCATTTTAGGGAGAAAGCCAGTCTTAATTCATTTCTATAATACCTCCCTATCAACATAGTTACTGTTACTACTTTCTATTTTACATGACCAAATGTTGTTTAATCTGGACTTTACCTAATCTGATAATCAAACTGTGTTTAACAGAACAACTGAATTAACTTTATGATAAAGGCAGAGTAACTACAGTGGTTCCAAAACCTAGTTATTATAAGAATCACCAAAGGAGTCACTGGAATTTAGATTTAGCAAATGGAATTCAATAATTCGGCTTAAAAAAAATTTTTTTTTAACTCAAGGAAACCACAGATTTAAAGTTATATCTCTAAGAATCACATCGTATATTACTGAAAATAGAATGTTTATTTATGATAAAGGAATAGTAAAGAGAAATAAGTCCATTTATATAATTTAAAATTCAATAGGCCAAGATAATCTATATCATTCTATCTTCCAAAAAAAATCAACTTAAGACTCTAAATGTCAATTTTTTAAAATAAAAATACCAAAAAATACACTAAATAAATTTACTTAGATACAACAGTCTGAAAGACATAAAGTCAACTTATTCTTAAACATTAGTAAAACTGTTAAAGGGTATTTATAATTATACAATTTTAAAACAGCTTTGGGCTTCCCTCGTAGCTCAGCTGGTAAAGAATTTGCCTGCAATGCAGGAGACCTGGGTTCAATTCCTGGGTAGGGAAGATCCCCTGGAGAAGGAAATGGCAACCCACTCCAATATTCTTGCCTGGAGAATCCCATGGACAGAGGAGCCTGATGGGCTACAGTACATGGGGTCGTAAGAGTTGGACAAGACTTAGCTATTGAAACCAACAAAACCAGCTTTGGAAAATAAAATGGTTATAGACTATATTTAAGCTTTTCCAGAATTCACATTTTCACATATTTGAATGATTCACTTGTAATGATCTCAGTAAAAACAAATAAAGAAAGTTACCATTTAGAAGAAAATTAGTAAGGCAGGAGGAAGGTCTACTATTTACATCTACAGGTGAAATTCGGTAAGCGCCAGTGCAATAGTGTAATTCTGAAATAGAAGAAAATACTGACTTGAAAGAATATAAAGAAATATTTCTACAATTAAATGAGAAAAACAAGCAAAAACAAAAACTTGTTCTTTGAGCCCCTAAAATAATGAAAAACAAAAATTCAAGAAGAAACAAATGAACCCTACCTACTACTTAATAAGAACCTTTTGATTTATTCTTTTCACTTTTAATTATTTTTAGGTACCTACCAATGTTATTTGTCCTTGGTGTGCACCACTTTAATGTTATTGTTTCTTTAAATGAGCCTTCTCTACTGCTGCCACTCAGATGGTTATCACCTTTAAAAATAATTTAGAGAAATATTAAGATTATTAAACAGATCACAAACTTCACGTGTGTGCCAAGATTTCTGAAAGAGTTTAAGCTTCATAAGAGAAAATGACTGTGGGAGAACATCTTTTTTACTAAGCCTCTTAGAAAAACACCAAATATTCAGTTTGATTATTAGTTATTATTAAAATAGATACTTTATTTTCCTCCAAATTTGTTATTAATAACTTAAATCATTTTATTCATTACACTGAAAATTAACAGCACAATTTTTTACATTTCAAGAACCTACATCTGTTTCCCTCTGACACCATTAAATAATAACATAATGTGGTTATGTAACTAAACCTTCAGGAATCTAAAATACATAATTCATTGTTCTGAATCCCAAAAAATTTATTAGAGAAAAAATAAAATGAGGAGTCTATAAGTTAAACATATGAGATATAAAGTGAACACTTTTTGCTTTAATGGAGTTGGGTAAACAGATATTAAAATAATGACAACCAAGTCTTAAAACTCCTCAAAGTCATCCAAGAGGGTTGGAATCAACTTCTCCTAAACTCCTGTTAAGTTCATATTTTGACCTCTTCCCACGAACAATAAATGTTCTTAACAACATCTAGAATGGTAAATCTTTTTCAGAAGGTTTTCAATATTTTTAGCCAAGCTCAATCAGAGGAATCACTATCAAAGGCAATTATAGTTCTACAAAATATATTTCTTAAATAGTAAGGCTTCTGAAGGGCTTCCCATATGGCTCAAGTGGTAAAAAATTCACCTGCCAGTGTAGGAGAGGCAGCAGGAGATGTGGGTTTGATCCCTGTGTCGGGAAGATCCCCTGGAGGAGGAAATGGCAACCCACTCCAGTATTCTTGCCTGGAAAAATCCCACGGACAGATGAGCCTCATGGGCTACAGTCCATGTGGTTGAAAAGTCAATGACGATTGAGTGACTAAATACAAGGCTTGAAAGTCAAAATTACTCCTTCATCCACGTGCTGCAGAATGGATGTTGTGTTAGTAGGCACGAAAACATTAACCTCACTGTATGTCTCTATCAGAACTCTTGAGAGATCAGATGTACTGTGCAAGGAGCAGTCACGTTTTAAAAGAAACCCTTTTCTCTGAGTAGTAGGTTTCAACAGTGGGCTTAAAATCAGTAGAGCCTGTTGTTACTGAGAATCAGTAAACCATGGTGTCAACCAATGTGCTATTATCCAGGCTTTGTTGTTACACTGATACAGCACAGGTGGAGTAGACTTAGCATAATTCCTAAGGGCCCTAGGATTTTCAGAATGGTAAATAAGCATTGCCTTAAACTTAAAGTCACCAGTTGCATTAGCCCCTAATAAAAATGTCTGCCTTTCCTCTGAAGCTTTGAAGTCAGACACTGACTTCTNGGGAACCCTCTTACACTGTTGATAAGAATGCAAATTAACATAGACATTATGGAGAACAGTATCGAGGTTCTTTAAAAAACTAAAAATACAGCTATCATATGATCCAGCAGGCCGACTCTTGGGCATATACCTAGAGAAAACTAATTCGGAAAGGTACATGCAACCCAATTTTCACTGCAGCACTGTTTATAACAGTCAAGACACAGAAGAACCTAAATGTCCAGTGAAGATGAATGGATAAAGAAGGTATGGTACATACATACCAAGGAGTATTACTTGGCCATTAAAAAGAATGAAATAACACATTTGCAGCAACATGGATGGACTTGGAGATTATCTAATCTAATAATATCAGTATTTTTGTGTCTCAGGGAATAGGCCGGCCCAAGAAGAGGGAAAGAGACAGGGAACAGCCAGTTTGTGGAGCAGTCAGAACATACACGACATTTATGGGTAAGTTCTCTTTCTTATATAGGTACAGTTTGTGGTGCCCCAAAACAATTACAATAGCAACATCAAAGATCATCAATCACAGGTCACCGTAACAAATAGAGTGATGATGAAAAAGCTTGAAATATTGTGAGAATCACCAAAATGTGACACAGAGACATGAAGTGAGCAAGTGCTATTAAAAAATGACACCAATAGATTTGTTCAACCCGTTACCACAAACATTTGATTTGTTTAAAAAAAAAAAAAAGCTACATCTGCTAAAGCAAAGCATGATAAAACAAGGTATACCTGTATTTGTTCCATTAGCCTCATCTTTCCCAAAGTATATTCAGTAGAACACTAGGTTCCATGGCCATTAATGGGTGACACTGTCAGATAAGTTTGCAAAGGGATGAACTAAAGTCATCAGGTTAGTTACTCAAGAACTTCTCAAAGCCGTTAGTACGTTTTCCTGTTAGATCTTCTAAAATAATACTTTCCAAAGTCTCTTACTTACCACTTTTCAGGAAATCTACATGTGCATCTTTGTGATGAAGCAGCTCCACATCATAATTGGCAGATGTATTAGCATGTTGTTCTTCCTTAAAGCAAAATTAAAAATAACTTGGCTCTGATTTTAAAATAATGAAATAATTAATTATTCATTTTGCTTAAAGTGAGATCAAATACACTCAACAGTAATTAGCTATAATAATGGGACAATGTGCTCAGTAATCAATCTATTTAAAGATGCAATAATTTTCCAATTCAATACAAACTATATAAAAAAATTACTGGCTACATTTCAGCAATAAAGTAATGGTTTTTATGTCAGAATTAACGTAGATGGGTAATCTAGAAATTGAGAAATTTTTTTACTCTGAATGCATTGTCCTGCCAATACTTTTTTATACACAAATATGACACAACTCAAATAGTTTGCTAATTGTACAATAGTTGTTTAAAGGAGGAAATAGCATCTTTAAATTCCTATAGTAAATTAAACAAGCACCAACTATATAAAATAGCAAATACAGACCAATAAACAAGTTGAGCAACTTGTTTTCACTCAACAGTAAATAGAAACTTTAGTATTATCTATTTACAAGAAAGAGACAGAGATTGAGGAGTCACACCAGTAACACATAAATACAGTCAAATTTAGAAAGTAATGTATCTATCACCCTCAGAGGATTTTGCTTACAACTCATGAAATTATATAAAGTACATCTATTATGCTCTTTTACTTCTTAATTGCTTCCTCACCCAAACTGATCTATTAAGGCTATGATTTCCACTGAAGAGCGAGCCACTGGTATAAGGAAGGAATTAATAATGAAAAGATTACATTTCTCATGCAAATTAGTTTTTATAATATGCAAAAAAATACAACTGGACTTATAAGAAAGGAATTTAAATGTTTAGAAATAGTGGCTACTTTATGTTTGTAGACATAAACAATACAACTAAGCTTAACTCCACTCAGTAAAAATTCATGTGAAGCTTTCTATAGGCCAGGCAGCGTACTGGTTTTAGACAACCAGGTAATATAATGAAAACACTGCTGCCATTGTTGTTGAGTCACTAGGCTGTGTCTGACTCTTTTGTGACCCCATAGACTGTAGTGCTCCAGGCTCCTCCGTCCATGGGATTTCCCAGGCAAGAATACTGGAGTGGGTTGTCATTTCCTTCTCCAGGGGATCCTCCCCACCCAGGGACTGAACCCACATTTGCACTGGCAGGCAAAATTTTGACCACTGAGTCATCAGGGAAGCCCATAATGAAAATGACAAGTTAGTAATAGATTCCTAAGAAAATCCTTCAGTAAAATCATAAGACTTATATGGTAGTTTTTCAACTAGAAAAATAAACTTGTTTAAAATTATAAACTTTTCCCCTCTAGTTATTAGACCTATCAGTTACAAACACCTTTATACTGGGTAGGGAAGAACAAAAATAAAGGAAACAGAAGAGCTACTAGAACACACAAAGTGAGTTAAATCTAATAACAACTGTCAGGAAAAGAATCACAGAAAAAGTAATCATTTCAGATGAAAATTATATTTTGATGAAAATAATGAGAACAAAATTAAAAACAAAAAAGCTGATATAGAAGGTTCAAATTAGGAAAAAAATACTGCATTTTGTTCTGTGATCCTTTCATGTTGCTTTTCATTATTTACTAACCTGGTCAAAGACACTGAATGTGGGCTAGCAAAACAGAAAATATGATACGGGGAGAAAGAATTAAGGTTCATTAAAATAAATAATACATATCAAGCAAATACTTAAAAAGCAAAGCAGAGTTTTCAAAGTAGCAAGAAAAAGAACTGCCTACCTTCATTGGAATATTAGTAATAGTAGTTGAAGCCAAGTCAAAATGCTGCTGGACTAGAATATTTAATTTCGTAGCAAGATGCCGTCCTGCACGAACACTATGAACTTCACTGGTTAAAACGGGGGACAACTATAGAGAAGTATGAAAAAAATAACCCACGAAACATTAATACATTGTAACTTAGGGCTAAATATTTTACTTCAACCCATAAAAATTAAGTACTTTTAAACTTTTGAGATAGGAAACAAAAGATCCATAAGTTAATCATAATCATTACCTTAGTAATACATTTTTATTCATTCATTCAGTCAGCAGATAGGTAAGGAGAACTTACTTTACTGATTGCCAGAAATTGTGAGTTATTGGAGGATACAGCAGTGAACAGGTACAATCTCTATCCTCTTGAAACTCAGAGTAGAATAATCTTTGATTTAAATATATATTTTAACTTATAAGTTTTACTTCTATTTATCTATATGCAAAATTGATTTGAGGTGATCCACAGAAATACTGTAGAATAATTAATTTTGTGAAGAAGACAAACCTCTGCAGATAACACTACTCATTACAAAGAATGAAAATCACTACAAATGTCATATTTTGTCACCAATAAATGTAATAAGGCAGCCAAAAGTCACTTATAACAAGGTAATATTTTATTCGTTCCAGGGTAATATTTATTGTAAGTAAACTGTTTACTTATCATAAAATAAAGCCAATGTACTGTCATGTTATCAAGAGTCACAAAAAAGCTAACAAAAAAATGGGTTTACACTGGAAATCACCTAAAACACAATGACAGAGATAACCTAAAAAAACCAATCAGTTATAAAAAAAATTCACTAATACTTCAGATGTTTATAATAATGCTAAATAAAAAAAACAGAAATAAGAACATATACATTTAATATCATTATATAAACACATATATCTGTATTGCTAAACACAGATCACTGATATGGTCTATGCTATATGAATCCATTTAATAATCAACAGACTCATCTTTTCCTTTAAAATTGTGCCAATTTATTTGAAAAGTAAAACTAAGGTTGGAAATTAGTCTTCTCCCTTTTGGATAGGTAAAATTAATTTCTTTGCTATAAGAGTATATTTTGACTAAAGAGTGTATTTTTCTTCTAATGAGGGGAAAAAAAAGGTTTTCTATAATAAGAAGTCACTAAAGCAATTTGGTTCAGATAATAGAGTCTGACTGCAATGTGGGAGACCCAGGTTCAATCCCTGGGTCAGGAAGATCCCCTGGAGAAGGAAATGGCAACCCACTCCAGTATTCTTGCCTGGAAAAATCCCACGGACAGATGAGCCTCATGGGCTACAGTCCATGTGGTTGAAAAGTCAATGACGATTGAGTGACTAAATACAAGGCCTGAAAGTCAAAATTACTCCTTCATCCACGTGCTGCAGAATGATGTTGTGTTAGTAGGCACGAAAACATTAACCTCACTGTATGTCTCTATCAGAACTCTTGAGAGATCAGATGTACTGTGCAAGGAGCAGTCACGTTTTAAAAGAAACCCTTTTCTCTGAGTAGTAGGTTTCAACAGTGGGCTTAAAATCAGTAGAGCCTGTTGTTACTGAGAATCAGTAAACCATGGTGTCAACCAATGTGCTATTATCCAGGCTTTGTTGTTACACTGATACAGCACAGGTGGAGTAGACTTAGCATAATTCCTAAGGGCCCTAGGATTTTCAGAATGGTAAATAAGCATTGCCTTAAACTTAAAGTCACCAGTTGCATTAGCCCCTAATAAAAATGTCTGCCTTTCCTCTGAAGCTTTGAAGTCAGACACTGACTTCTCTCTAGCCATGAGAGTCCTAGATGGCATTTTCTTCCAATCGAAGGCTGTCTAATCTACACTGAAAATCGGTTGTTTAGTGTAGCCAACTTCAGTGATTATTGAGCTCGATCTTCTGAATAACTTGCTGCAGCTTCTACATCAGCAGTTGCTGCTTCACCTTGCATTTGTATGTTATAGAGTTTCTTTGCTTGAATCTCATGAACTAGCCTCTGCTAGCTTCAAACTTTTCTTCTGTATCTTCATCTCTTTCAGCCTTCACAGAATTAAAGAGAGTGAAGGCTTTGCTCTGGATCAGGCTTTGTCTTTAGGGAATATTCTGGCTAGTCTAATCTTCTATCTAGACCACTGTAACCTTCTCCATGTCAGCAATAAGGCTGTTTCATTTTCTTATCATTTCTCTGTTCACTGAAGTAGCACTTTTAATTTTCCTTCAAGAACTTTTCCTTTGCATTCACAACTTGGCTAACTGTTTGGCACAAGAGGCCTCACTTTCAGCCTATTTTGGCTTTCAACATGCCTTCCTCACTACGGTTAATCATTTTGAGCTTTTGATTTAAAGTGAGAGATGTCCAGATAATGAAAATTAAAACAAAAATAAACAAATGGGACATAATTAAACTCAAAAGCTTTTTCACAGCAAAGGAAATCATAAACAAAATGAAATGATGACCCACAGAATGGGAAAAAATATTTGAAAATGATGTGATAGACAAGGGATTAGTCTCCAAAATTTACAAATGCTCATGCAGCTGAATATAAAGATAAAAAATCCAATCAAAAAATGGGCAAAAGACCTAAAGAGACATTTCTCCAAAGATGATATACACATGGCCAAGAGGCACATGAAAAGATGCTCAATATTGTTAATTATTAGAGAAATGCAAATCAAAACTACAATGAGGTATCAGAATGGCCATAATCAANGTGTAGCCTGTTCCCTTCTCCAGGGAATCTTCCCAACCCAGGGATCGACGCCAGGTCTCCTGCATTGCGGGTGGATTCTTTACCAGCTGAGCCACCAGGGAAGCCCAAGAATACTGGAGTGGGTAGCCTATCCCTTCTCCAGCGGATCTTCCCAACTCCAGAATTGAACCGGGGTCTCCTGCATTGCAGGCGGATTCTTTACCAGCTGAGCTCTCAGGGAAGCCCTAGGCCATTCTCTTTCCAAGGTTGTTACAGTAACTCCTTCGTTGTGGGTTCCAGGTTCAGTCCCTTTCGAGTTTTACAAGCTCAAGACCCATGTCCTATCCTACCAGAGTGGAAATTCCTGGGCTCTAGGTTCTACCACCTAGGTTTAGGTTTATTGTTTTTTTTCTTCTTTTTTACTCTTGTCCTTCGGAATCTCCTTTGTTTTCTTACGATTTCAGCAATGCATTTAAAAGTGTATCTGTTGTAATTTATTCAACATCTGGGTCCTTTGTGGTCAAGGACTTTCCATACTATTTGATGTGCACACTTTCTATAAGTAGATTTCCTTTTCCCAGTTCTCACCCTTGTTAGAATGGAAGGCAGATTCTTCCTGAAAGTGAAAGTGGCTCAGTTGTGTCCGACTCTTTGCAACCCCATGGACTATAGAGTCCATGGACTTCTCCAGGCCAGAATACTGGAGTGGGTAACCTGTTTCCTTCTCCAGGGCATCTTCCCAACCCAGGGGTGTTTTTTCAACACATACTCCGATATCCTGTGCACTTTTTGAGGACTAACTTTTACCTTTGTTGGAGAAGGAGGGATGAAGATTCAGGTTATAGCAGTAAGAGTAATTGTAGGCTTCTCTGGTGGCTCAGCAGTAAAGAATCTGCCTTCAGTGCAGGAGACACAGGTTCCATCCCTGGGTCAGACAGGTCCCCTGAAGAAGGAAATGGCAACCCACTCCAGTATTCTTGCCTAGAAAAATCCCATGGATGGAGGAGCCTGGCAGGCTACAGTCCATGGGGTTACAAAGAGTCAGGCACAACTGAGCGACTCACACACACACACTGTAACTGAAATTTGAGGAACCATACAAATTGTGTGTGGTTTGATAATAAAATTATTTGAAATAAACATCAAGAGGCAAGCAAAACAGAAAATACTTTCAAAATCTACAATTATAACATAAAGAACCAATCCAGGTATTTTGCCATACAGGTAGATTTCAAAACTAAATTTTCTTAGCAGAAAATGTTCGCAATCTGATCATTCTTATGCTAAACCTTGTATTTATCATTAATAACTAACAATGACATCTTCTTCATGACCTCTACTTACCTCTTTCTTAGGACGATCAGATACAAGGCTGTCTTCACCAACTGGGTAGGTGTGGATCAAGACTAGCTCACATTTCTGAATCTGCATGAGACTTAAAGAAAAACTTTTCACTTAAAAGATAAGAACACATACTATGGAAAGAATTCAGGCAAATAGACCATAAAACATTTAATGTACTAAAACAGTATAAATCAGATTAGTTCAGTTAACATAAAAGCTAAATACTCAGAAAGACTGTATAACTGCTATCCTTGTACAAACATTTAATGAATAATTTTTATGAATTTAATTCAAATGCAAAAATGATCATTTTCTGTGTGTTTGAAGGATACAATAAAGGAAAAATTCTTACATTCTGGTATAATTTTCAAAAGATAACTGCCACAGAGAAAAATGAATATATTGTGTGTTAATCTCTCTTTTACTAGTATTTAAATGGCAACTCTCCACTATTCTTGCCTTGAAAATTACACATTCCGAGGAGCCTGACAGGCTACAGTACATAGAGGTGGCTGGAACTGAGAGCATACACATACATACTAGCGTTTTTAAGGACAAAATCAGGCAACTATGTTACCTATAATTGGTTATTTCCAAGAATACAGGATTTGTAATACTAAAAAGTTACCCCAACTTTTTATCTGTTTTTTACCCCTCCATTTTATTTTATTTTAACTGAGGTGCAGCTGATATACAATAATAAAAGTTGCAGGTTTACAACACAGTGATTCACAATTTTTTTAAATTATACTCCATTTATAGTTACTACAAAATATTGGCTATATTCCCCGTGTTGTACAATATATCCTTGTAGCTTAGTTATTTATAAACAGTAGTTTATACCTCTTAATCCTTACCTCTAACTTGCCCCTCCACCCTTCCCTCTTTCCACTGCTAACTACTAGTTTGTTCTCTATATCTGTGAGCCAACTTTTTATTTTAAAATTTCCAAACCTAAAGAAAAATTAAAAGAAAGGAACTATTCAATGAACACCCATATATCCTTAACCTATATTCACTGTTGTTGCATTCATTTTCACTATAAATGACTAAATAGATGTACACTGTTTCTTTTTTTTTTACTAAGTCATTTAAGAGTAAGCTGCAGAGTCAATGATACTTCACTCCTACATACCTCAGCATGCTTTCTTCTCCTAGTGAGAATAATCCTACTTGTTAACAATAATATCAGTACTCCACTTAGAAATTTAATAGTAGCTCAATCTAACATATATTCCACACAATAATTGTCCCAAACATGTCTTCAGTAGCTTTTTTCTTTTTAAAAAATTCATACTATGTAATTAGTTGTAATGTTTTGATTTGGCATTTTACAGATTTGTAAGAGCATGAGATTTAGCCATTAAAAATATGCATTATAAATTTATTTATTATGTTATCCTTCTGCTCACCTTTCCTGAGAGCAAAAAGTAAAATTTTAAAGTGAAAGGGAAAACGGGACAAGAAGTTGCTGATCAAACACACGTTCTGACTAATGTGTAGAGCCAGTAGAGAACTAAAGGGAATGCTACCAATTACTAATTAAGTTACTGGAATAATTATAATGGAATAAACAGGACTATAAAAATGGAATATTTATTCCATTTATGGCTTTTACTCACTGATCTGAATTTGCAGCAAGTTTGTTATGCTCATGAATTGTTTCTTGGACACAATCCTCAAGCATTCGCACATGACTATCACTATGGGATAAAAAAGATATAACCAAATTAAATAAACAATAAGAGAAAAAAGTTAAACACACTATTCAGCTGTGGTATCGTGTTACAGGCACTTTAACTACTGCAATAAAGATTGTCTGTAGCATGCTCATTCATAATACCAAACAACCAACTGAATGAAAACCTAGTGAGGGAAAAAAGTCAAATTGACCTACATGACAACAATTTAAACAGTTTCACTGAGGTGAACTGGATATTTTAGAACTGGGAACACAGCCTTGATGTTAAAAAGGCCAACATGTGATATGCTTAAATGCTAACATGTTGCCTCTACTTTTTTAAAATAAAAACTACAATAGGACATGAAAAATTCCTCAGTAAGAATTACTGTGATTAATGTCTCACCTTTTTGCATTAGTAATGCAAATTATTCGTCCTCTATTTCCAACACGTTCTGCATTCTCCATTAGCAGAGTACGAGCCTCATGTTGGTATTCAGTAATTTTACAGAGGGTTTCCACTGCTGCAACGAGACCATGCAGAATACTGCAGCATTCTGGATCTGCCCGTGGATTAGGAGGCCCAACAGCAGCTAATGCTGCCATCAGCTAAGTAAAAGGAGAAACAATTATGTTGACGAGAATAAGCACAAGTCCGACAAAGGCATCACAAGAAATGGAAACTATAGACCAATGTATGTTATAAATACGGACACAAGTGTCTTCAACAACATACTAGCAAACTGAATCCAGCAACATTTCAAAAGAATTATATATCATGACCAAGTGGGACTTATCCCAGGAATGCAAAGTTAATTTAACATCCAAAAATTAATTAATGCAAATGCTATCAATAGAATTTTTTAAAAAATCACATGATCAGCTCCAGAAAAAGCATTTGACAAAAATCCAAAATCCTTTCATGGGTTGAGAGAGGATTAAATGAGCCAAGGTAAAAAAATAAAATAAAATCTTTTCATGATAAAAACAGTTAACAAACTAGAAACAGAAGGGAACTTTCTCAAGCAGATAAAAGGCATCTATGAAAAACCTATACATAATATCGTGCTTAATGGATGCATCCCCTCTAAGACTCTCACCATTTCTATTCAACACTATACTAGAGGTTCTCTCTGGGGCAATTAGGAAGGAAAAAGATGTACAAGGAATTCAGATTGGAAAGGAAGAAGTAAAACTATCTTTATGTTGCAGATGACATAACCGTGCATGTAGAAAATTCTAAGGAATCCATTAGAAATTTTCTAAAAATAATAAAACTCAGCAAGGTTCCAAGTACATGATCAAAAGAGAAAACCAACTGCACTGCTATGCACTTGCAAAGAAAAATCCAAAAGTGAAATTAAGAAAATAATTTCGTTTACTATAGCACCAAAAAGAATAAAATGCTTAGGAATAAGTTTAACAAAGGAAATGCAAATTTTATACTCCAAGAACTATGAAATATTGTTGAAATAAATTAAAGATCTAAGTGAATAGTAAACACCCTATGTTCGTGGATTGGAAGATTTACTATTGTTAAGAAGACAATACTACCCAAACTGAATTAGGATTAAATGTATGCCCGTCAGAATTCCAGCCGACTTTTCTAGAAAGTGATACGCAGATCTGAAGGTTCATATGGAACTGCACGGATCCAGAAGAGCTAAAACAATCTTTAAAAGAAGGAGTGAAGGCTTTGTTCCATGTATGCATAAAGACACACTAGAAGGTCCAGTTAAAAACTAACAGTGATGGGGATAAACAGTGATATGCCAATAAACCAGTTCTCTTAACAAAAAAAAAAATTCCCAATTTGTAGTGTTTGCCAGTATCTATGGTTAAAAACTCCCATGATAGCTTATTTCACTCTTTCACTGAGTGCAAAGGTGAGCTGGGATTCACACACTCAGCTCTCTCAAGCTGATATAAGCAGGCTCTAGTATACTGCTAACTGGAGCAGGGGACAAGTGGAAAATTCTTCAAGGCCTAGCTTTTATTTACACACACATGTATATACATATGTACACAGGCCAATATATGTGCAAATTTTATTTTTAAACTATATAGGTATTACCTATTCATAAACAATAATCAAAAAAGAAAAAATACTGTGTCCATACCACTATGAAAGTTCCTGGTTCATAGGAGAAACTGCTTTTTAGGAGAGGGGTGCTGTGGTCATGGGAAAGCAGCAGAAAGAAAGTTTAACTTCTGGTGTCAGATAAATATGGGCTTAAATTCTGGCTCTGCCTTTTAATACTGTGTGATCCTGGTCAATCTCTCCTAGTCCTTTAACCTAATCTGAAAGTGAAACCAATAGAACCTGCCCCACATTAGTATGATACTTGCAGACTTCACTTAAATTTAGCTAACAAAAACAAGACTCTTGAAATTTGACAAATTTTTTAGTAAGATCTACCATGTAGAGAGAGGACAGCATTATGAGATGTAAGAGAAGCAGCCCTGGATCTAAGCATGTAAGTCAAACTACCCCTGGCCTTCAGTTCCTTCACCAGCACCAAGAAAGAGCCAAAGCAAAAAATGTCTACAATCCTTCCAGCCTAAACATTCTTCAATCAATCTACTTCAACTGTTTCTCATGATGATTCAAAATAACTAGAGAAAGGTGTGACATAAAGCAAAAAATGTCTACAATCCTTCCAGCCTAAATATTCTTCAATCAATCTACTTCAACTGTTTCTCATGATGATTCAAAATAAATAGAGAAAGGTGTGACATAAAGCAAAAAATGTCTACAATCCTTCCAGCCTAAATATTCTTCAATCAATCTACTTCAACTGTTTCTCATGATGATTCAAAATAACTAGAGAAAGGTGTGACATAAAGCAAAAAATGTCTACAATCCTTCCAGCCTAAACATTCTTCAATCAATCTACTTCAACTGTTTCTCATGATGATTCAAAATAAATAGAGAAAGGTGTGACATAAAGCAAAAAATGTCTACAATCCTTCCAGCCTAAACATTCTTCAATCAATCTACTTCAACTGTTTCTCATGATGATTCAAAATAACTAGAGAAAGGTGTGACATGGATAACTAAAGCTAAACATAAAATGTGTCAACACGGAGATGATGATACATAATTTATACAAAATGTCAATTACTTTGTATCATCCTAAACATCAATGCTTTGCTATATGGTTGCATTCACAACTAGTTTCCCATCAGTACATAATCTAAAAGCAACTCTGTGATATAGTATGATTTAACATTTCTTCACCTTCAGAAAGCAGAAGGAAATAGTACAATAATTCTCATATCATCAGTATATCTACCATTATCAAATGCATACCTTTTACTGCACTGCAGAGGTGCAGTAAGGAACATCTATACAAATTTGTACTTATTTTTATTCACATACAACTAGAGAAGCCTCAGGCTTCTTTCACAGTACCTCTTGAAAGAACAGAACAGAATACATGCTATTTCTTAGATTGTATAGGGGGAATGAATGGAATCTTAATATTTTTTTCAAGCAATGAAAGAATAAAGATCATTCTGGAGTGATATAAATGCAAAGACAAGCCAAAAAACAGCCTTCCTACCCACCAGCCACCTTCAGTGAGTTACCTCAAAAGAAAAGAAGATTAGAAATGTTTATATATTATGTTAATCACAACATTTTAAAACCAAACACTGTGATAAACACATTTTCTTATAAGTATTCAATTTAAAACCCCCATTTGGATGGGATTATTTCTATTAAGGGCTTACCTGGTGGCTCAGCTGATAAAGAACCTGCCTGCAGTGTGGGAGGCCTGGGTTTGATCCTTCTGTTGGGAAGATCTCCTGGAGAAGGGAATAGCCACCCACTCCAGTATTCTGGCCTAGAGAATTCCATGGACTGTATAGTCCATGGGGTTGCAAAGAGTCGGACACGACTGAGCAATTTTCATTAAAAGATATCCATTAACAGAGAATTTTTAACATGAAATAGTTCAAAATAATGTATTAAAATATTTCACTAGTGCTTGTCTCTCTTGGTCATATTCATCAGTGAAGAACTTTGTAGACTGAAGTCTGCTACGCAACTGCTGTTGCTGAACAACAGCAAAGAATGCAACCTACCACAAACTCAGTATCTTAGACACATGTCTAAAAAGCATAAATTTGATGTATTGAGCATGGGTTTATTTCTGCTTCCTCCTAAAACCCCACTAAAAGTGTAGTAAAGGTATTTAATTGTAAAAAGCAAACACCAAAGGCCGGGGGGGCAGGCGGGGGAACCCCAATAAACTCAGAGAGATGAAGAGAATGGAGGAGCAGACAAGAGAATAAACAAGAGATGTCAGCAAGAATGTATGAAACTGGATGGAGGACCGATAATTGACTTAGCAACACTGAATTAGCTGAATCTAAGAGCCTACAGGGGAAAAAGCAAGATGATAGGCTTTTCAGAATCTAGGAGAAGTTCAGGAACTGAGGCATCAAGTACCACAGAAAGCAAGAGTGAGCAAGATACTGGAAACTGTGAATGAGGTGAAGTCAGTATAAGGTACAACTTGACTCCCACACTTACACCCTACCCATGCAAGTGACCACCTCTCCTCAGACACAGAATCACATCCCTTGGAGGAACTGAACCAGGAAGTTACCAAACAAGGATTTCACCAAGCGCAGCAGAATGTAAGGGTAAGGCACTACACCAGGGCTGCCCAGAAGAATTTTCTGTGATGATGGAAATATTCTATATCTGTGCTGTACAGTAGTCATTATCCATGTGTAGTTTATTTGAGTATCTGAAACATGGCTAGTACTACAGAGAAACTGAACTTTTTAATTGCATCTAATTTTGTTCAGTCAGTAAGTCATGTCTGACTCTCTGTGCCTCCATGACCTGTAGCCCACCAGGCTCCTCTGTCCTTCACTATCTCCCTGAGTTTGCTCAAATCCATGTCCACTGAGTCAGTGATGTCATCCAACCATCTCATCCTCTGTCACCCTCTTTTCCTTTTGCCCTCAGTTTTTCCCAGGATCAAGGTCTTTTCCAGTTAATTTAAGTAGTAGCTACTTAATAGCTAATAGTAGCTATATATGGCTAGTACATTGGACAGCACAATACTAGACCAAAACCAGAAAGATTGAGTGGCAGTTCAATATTTCACCTACCGTCTCCCCTGGTTCCCAGAAGGCTGATAACCAGGTTTACGGCACAGAGGTAGAAGAGTGGAAGGTCTTCCCTGGAGACCCTGAGTGGTCCCAGAGAGGTGACCTGTCCATTCTGACATCCAGAGGTCTCCCGGGGAGAACAACTGGATAACTATGACAAAGACCAGTCAGCAATATCTCCTTCATAACATGCAGACCTTCTCACCTGCTATTCAGTGCCTTCCTTTTAAACAAGACTGCTTACCCAAGTATCAGCAGGCATTTAAGAAAAGCCTCAACATGAAAAGAACACTGAAAACACGAAGAGATCAAAAGAAAAAATCCAATAAATCACTAGTACCTTCAGGTTAAAAGATTACACCCATAAAACAAGAAAAGAAAAAGGACAAACATGTACACAATTAAAGCATAATAAAAGTTCTTGGAAATTAAAGATATGATCAAATAAAAAGTTCCATATACAGATTAACAGGAAATAGGTAAAAGGCTCAGAAAGAACAATGAGGACCAATGAGAAAAAGAATAAGGGAATTAATTCAGGAAGTCTAATTTCCCACTCATAGGGATTCTAGAAAGATGCGGAACACAAAGACAAGAACATTATCAAAGAAACAGTACAGGGAAATTTCCCTGGAAGAATATAAACCCTACCTCAATGAATGACAAAAGACCAACACTAGGGCAAATAACTGAGAAATTTCAGAACATAAAGGAGGGAAGAAAATATTCTAAAACATTACAAAGAAATATTTCCGTTTTATAAAGGAAAAAATATTTAACTTCTCAATAAGACTGGAAGCTATATAACAGTAGAGTAAGGCCCTCAGAATTTTGAAGAAAACATTATTTCCAAACTTAAATTTTTATACCTCTAGTATGAATAAACTGTAAGGTAAATTACAGAAATTCTCCCAAAACAAGAGATCACTCACTCACACACACACACACACACACACACACACACACACAAAAGAGGAAAAAAACTGGGAACTGAAAGGCAGGGATCGAGGAGGATCACAGCAGGGCAACAGGCCTAGAACACAACCAGTTTAAACTGCAGCCCAAGACTGAGTTCCAGGAAATTTTTCAAGGGGGAAAAAAAATCAAACCGCCTAATTTCTAATTCGCCAGTAATAAAAATATTGAGATTTTTTTGTAGAGACATGAGGAAAATAGCAATACAGTCTCAGAAAACTAAGTATATTAAAAGCAAAAAAAGTAAATATAAATTCCAGGAATACATAAAAAAAATTGTACAAGAAAGGAAATAACAGAAGTCAAATCATTGTGCTGGACATCTTAAACTTATACAGAGCTGTAAATCAACTATATTTTAATAAAACCTTAAACAAAACACAAAAGAAATAAAACAATCACATACACTACTTGGTTTAGCAGTGGATCACCCTTTACATAGACATAACGTAAACATGGAATTCTGAATTAACCAAAACTTCTCATATAACAGTACTGAGAAAATCGGGGAATGGACATGGGCAGTCATAGTGGCATATGCAAGAGAAAGTATAAAAGGTAAATTTTCATTGACAATAATGATAAATAAGATTTAAATTAGGAACTCTATAAATAGCAGTAAAAATGTTATTTAGAAATATGGAAGTAAATACTAGATGAGCTAGAGAGTTGAAAGCTTGCTTCTAGGAAGTGGGGAAAGGCTGGAAGGTAGATAGCTGTCTTTCTTTTAGTGTTAGTTGGTGTTTTAAAACTACATGCAAATACTACACCAGTAAACAAATTATTTTTTAAGGAAGTATTACTGTATTCACATATTTTCAAAAATTGCCACAACTCAAAACCTAAGCAAAAAACAAAAAACAAAAGAAACCTAAGCATACCTCCTGCAAATTTTGGTCTTCTTGAGTCCAAGAATTTAAAACATGTGCTCCAGAGTCACTTACAATGAAATTCACCTAATAGAATTCAAAGAAATAATTAGTATTCAACTCCAATTCCACTCAATTACATCATATTTAAAATACTTATATTATAAATATCTTTTAATATATGTAATACAAACACAACTGGAAGTGCAGTCTCTAGCACTAGTTTGCTGACTGATTCAATCATACATATACAGAACAGCCAGTACCAGGAAAACAGTTCTGCCCCTCACAACGTGGGGAACATCAGGGGTTCTCGGATGTAGAAAGCCAGAGGGCAGTGCAAGAAGAATACAAACAAAAATAAATGAACAAGATGATTTCAGACAGTGATAAATGCTATGAAAAAGAAACTGTTTAGCTTTTTTAGATCAGTTGATCAGAGAAGGGCTCTCTATAGAAGTGGCAATTGAGGGGAATCCAAAATGACCAGAAGAAACCAGCCAGGGAAAGAGATGGAGGTACAGAATACTAGGTACAGCAAACTGCAAATGCAAAAGCCTCTGTGTACTCTCTTAAGATCAGAAAAATATGCCGGAGTCATATCACATAAGGCAGTGGAGGCCGGAAGAATGGATTTGGACTTCATTCTAAATTTTAAAGTAAAATGCAAACCCAAAAATACTATCAGGTAAGATGATGACAGTTAAGGATATACTAGAAAATACATCAGAATATGGCTGTGTTCTCTTTTGGGAGGAGGGTGAGATTATTTATTTTTCACTCAACTATAGGGTCTAATTCATGATCTTTTTTATCTGTGAAATACTAGTTTTGATTTCCCAGTAAGTTTGATAAGTAGCCTTTTCTCCTGAGGCCTATCTGACAGGAACATGTTTTACTGGCCCCTTTACTCACATTACTGCAATGAAATCTTACAACAATCACAGGAAGGAGGTGTTATGCTGACTAGGGAGGAAACTGAGGCTTGAAGAAATGAAGCAAAGAAGATCAAGGTCACACTGCTGGTTGCTTAATGATGTCAGAATTTGAACCAAAACCTATGCCTTCAACCACTACATTATGCTTCCTGTCATATATACATTTTTTTTTATCCTACATGATACACAATTTACAGAGGGACTAAAAGCAATTTATATTTAATTTAGAATACATCTGAATGTGTAATATATATTAGACTTACCATGTTCAGCCTTACTGCTACTCCTGTGCCTATGCCAGTCTATGAACTGGCTAGCCCAACTACTCACTCCAGTATTCTTGCCTGGGAAATCCCATGGACAGAGGAGCCTGGTGGGCTACAGTCCATGGGCTCGCAAAGAGCTGGACATGACTGAAGTGACTAAACAACAACAGGTCCCAGCCTAGGCTGCTCCAAATGAGACAGACAGCACATCATCCACTTGTGGCTAACCAAATGACTTCCCTTAAATAGAACAGTTGAGATTCTGAAACCTGAAGATAATTTTCATACTCAAAATTTTTATCAATCTTACATTTCCCTTCTTACTGATAAAAACAATTTCCACTTAGCATTCTTAAGAGTATTTCTTTACAATATGGCCAAACCCTGCCGCGGTTTAGAACACTTTCACTAAAACTGTAAGCAGCCTGGTTCTTAGAATTCTGGTTCTGCCTCTGACTAGCTATATGACTCAGAGCCATTGCTTCTTTTGACCTCAGTTTCTGCATCTCCAACAAGGCAGTAACAAACAAGACTGATATTCACATGGAACACACCAACATATTCTGACAAAGTGCTCTCAGCCAACATCCCTTCAGCTTATGCTGGCAACAGCTCTCAGTGGTCAGTGTCTGTTCCATTCTGGTTATCTCATACTTTGAATACTGTCCCATTAATTACAGTAATTACTGCATAGGAGTGTTGTGAGAGTCATAGGAGTTAATAAATATGAAGCACATGTAAGAAGAGCTCCGTAACTGTAAGCTGTTATTATTATTGTTGGCCCCGATTAAATACACGTAACATATTAATCCCAAAGCGGAGTTCTACATACCACATTTTTAAAGTAGCAAATAAATGGTAACTCAAATTGATAGCAAATTCATATATAAAAAATGTAATAAGCAGTTAAGTACGCTCCCCAAATCATGATTTTCCTTGTACTTCACACTCACCAGCTTTTTGAAAGGAAATATGTCATACATTATTCTACAATATTCCATGGAAGATTCTACTGAGCAAGTCCACAACGATTTAGATATGGGGGCCAATGGGATGATTCCTTGGGTCCTATTCTTCACCAGCATATCAAACTCGACATGTTGTCTGCATGACTCTGCCATGTAAGGGCAGTGATCCACGACAAAAACTGTTTTATGAGATTCAGAAAAAATCTTCATCTTGTTTTAACCTGCAAAGGATAAAATATATTAGCCAAACATCTTATATATAACATTTAATCTCTTCAATTATTTCTAATGACTGTATCTTTTCCTCAAGAAGATTTGGTAGGGAACATTAATAATCAGTATTCAATGAAATTTATCCAACAAAGGACAAGATTTAATGAGGTCATGACAAAATAACTATCAATTCAAGGGATGAGCTACTCCATATTAACCTGTCATTCTACCGGAGGCAGGCAACACTGCAATCCATGCATACATTTTCGCTTCTGGAATGCACGTAAACTTGTCAGAAGAAAATATTTTTACAAATAATTGAATTGTTTCTCTTACACAATATCAAACACAATAAACGACAGATACTCTTCAAATACACTTTTGATGATCACTGTTAATTGACATCAATTACATATAAACCCCTAAACTTAAGGTCAGTCAGTATTTTGGGGATTCCCTCCAAAAAAATCTCAAGACTTCTGAAGAAGCGTAGGAGGGGGAGAAAGAATGAACTGGAAAGAGGAGTGACAACAAAGGGAAGTCCAAAACATAACACACATCTCCTAAGATAACTGCATATCAGGTCTTCCCATTAGGATACGGACCTCAAATTCACGTTCTCCCCCTTAGCTTATGAAACACCACGGTAAATTTATCACGTAGAACAGAAAAACTTAGGTGCTACTCTCACGCTGGTGAGGAGGAGGAACTTCAAGAACTTTTTCTTATAGCAACTCCCTTGCTTCGCTAAGAAAATTTTATACTGAATACAAGCCACATTCGAAAAGCACATGGTAAACAGCAAAAGTGCTCATCAAAACGAACTGACTTTTTACAATCTATTTTCTTCTACTGCTTTCAAACGCATTTCCCCTTCATGCAAAAGTCTTCTTTGAGAAACCTAGACACACTCTGCTGGAAGGTGGGGGGTAGAAAGTACAAGGTGAGTGGATAGGGAAGACCTCACGATCGAGGTTCGCTTACTTTCGTGCCTGGTCCTGCAGTGAAAACGAACAGAGGCTATGGACCACAGCCTCTCTGGAAAAGGCTGCTGGCTGGGTGGGGAGGGTCAGCGCACAGTCAGGAGTGACTGGTACCAAAGACAGGGGACTATGCTTTCCCCGCTCATCTCTTAGCACACCGGTCCTTCCCAGCCTTCCTAAATGCAGGAGCGCGCGCGCCTGCGCGTGAACACAAACACTCACACACTCGGACTGGCGCGTGCGCAAAGCACTCTTCGACAGCCCCGCCAAGCTGCCCTTCCCCCTCGGCGGGCCAGACGCCCAGGTCTCTAACAGGAAGAGGGCGGAGCCAATAAAAAAAATGCCTCCGACCCTTAAGCTTTTCTACCCGCTAATTTTCCCAGTCACCCATTGGGAAGACTGATCCCGTCGACCTGAGAGCCTCCCCAACAGCGTAGTACCAACCACAGCACCGGCTAAACCAGCCACGGCCCCCTAAGCGCAAGGGCCTCCCACTAGATCTCCCTGCTCCGTCTCTCCACCCAGCCCCGTTTCCCCTAGCAAAACTCGCGAGACTTTGAGAGGCCGAGCAAAAGCCCAAGTGTGGACTAGTGGGGAGGGAACGTAAAGTGGCCCGCCCCTACTACTTGCGCATGTCAGCTAGAGGCCTCAAATAAATCGCAGAGGTCTGCACCCCCACCCCCACCCCCAACCCCCGCCGTTACGCGAAGAAGGAAGTCTCGCGAGGTTAAAGCGCTTTGAGAGCGCTGGTCGGAGGCGGTCGCCAGGGGTTTTCTCCTTGCCAGTGATGGGGCTGAGCACCTGGAACCCCGGAGCCAGCCCTGCATTGCCTGTTGTGGGTTCTGCGTCTGCTCGCTGAGGAAGCTGAACAGGCGGGAGGAGTCTCTTCCCTTGGGTGCATAGGTCCCCGTTGGCAGAGGCTTTGAGTCCTAACCGCCACAGCTGACGGCTGCGAGGGATTGAGACCAGAGTAAGTGAAATCAATCCAGGGAGACGAGCGGGCGTAGCGAGTCGTAGGCTTGCTTTCCCCTTTTGCACCACCTCTTGAACCACCGGCTGCCGGTTCCTGGGCGCGGTACATCCTGTTCTCAGCTCTGAGCACCTCTTTCCGGATCTCAGGTGCAGAAAGTTCGATGAAAAGCCTTGGCCCTAACCCTTGGGGACACACCTCTGTTCTCGGTTTTCTTCCTGCCTAACCCACCTGGCAGCTCACCGTTGGCGGGGCGGGGTGGGGGTGGTCGGCAGGGATGGAAGAGGGTTCCTTTTCAGGTTTCAATTTACCTCTTTGCGTAAGAACCATTCCCTTTCTTGAAACCACACTTCAAGAAATATTACTCTTTTCCTAGTTCTCTTCGCAGATAACCAACTGTCTTTAAACTGCCTTCTGAAGAATCCTACCTTTTTCTTGGTTTTCATCTTACCTTTCTTCTGTATCCGATCTCAGATAATAGTACTGGTCTCCATCCAGTTGTCCGCACTAGAAACCCAAGGCTCATCCTTGACTGTATTTCCGCTTGTATTGCACTGTGCTATTTCTTCTTTCAAAACCAGGTGATTTCCCCACCATCCTCCTCCCCTGGTTACCATTCTGAAATACAAATCTGTTTATGTCAATCTTTTCTTGAAACTTTTTCAATAACCCTACCGCTGACAGAATTAAGTCCTATTTGTTAAGCGTATCACACAGAGCTTTTTACTGTCTGTCCCAATCCATTTTTACCTTTTCTGTTTTATATCGCCAGTACCTCAATATTCGTTCACGCCAGACTCCTGTTTATCCAAACACGCCAAGCACTTTTACAGCTCTCTTGCCTTTGTATGTGCTGTACCATTTGTCTTGAATGCTTCCTCTTCCTTTTTCTAAAACCACCTCTCAAAATCTAATTCATAGACCATTGTCTTCTCAGGCTCCACCAGATGATACTGATAGTACCACTGTTCTCCCAAAGCACTTGAAACGGTATTTCTACAGAACTTTTTAGATTGTATAACATTGTTTATTCAAGTATCTTGTCTCCTGCCAATTTGAGCTTAAGTCTGGAATCACATCTTATTCATCTTTGTAGCAAAAGTTGATTCATTGCTTGGCACATAGCAGGCATTATTTGTATTAATATAAACGTGTATACTTATTTGTAATATGTGTGTGCGTGCTTAGTTGTTCAGTTGTGTCCAACTCTTAGTAGTCCCGTGGACTGTAGCCCCCCAGTCTCCTCTGTTTCTGAAATTTCCCGGGCAAGAATACTGGAGCAGATTGCCATTTCCTACTCCAGGGGAATCTTCCTGACCCAGGGATTGAACCCAAGTCTCCTGCATTGGCAGGTGGATTCTTTACCACTGAGCCACCTGGGAAGCCCCATTTATAATATAATAGTTCTGAAGTTTCATCATAGAAGTAGGAGTCCTTAGCATTCTCAAAAAATGTAGAATTTTAGAGCCAGAGGAACCTTTTATATTAGTTTTAAAAACGCTGACCAGTTTTGAGTATGAGGAATTCTGTACCACTAATACACAAGTAATTGTATTTTTAATATCTGTTAGTTGAGATTGTGCATTGTGGCATGAAGCTATTATGCTTTTTCATGATTTTGTATTTTATTATTAGCAGTCTCTATTAAAAATGGTGGGATATATATGTATGAGAGAAATATTTAGACTACAGACCATGCTTAATTCATGTACATCTGTGCCACCCTTCCATTGATTCCTTGCCCATAGGTTAGAAATAACTGGTTTAGGTTACATTAGTTTCTTCTTAAATTGTCATACTTGTTTGAACATATATGTATATGAGCTTACATTTAGTCACAATTCCAAGGAAACATGTAATTAAAAAAAATAAAACTTCACCTGTGTCCTTGCTTTCAAATTCTGTTTTTTCTAACTTTAAAAATTAATTTTCTTCAAAAAGCTGCTTCATAAAACTCTAAATGTGTTCATTCCATTATTTTCAAGGACAGTGAAAAATTTTTGTGCTTTCAAATACAGTGATATGTGTGTGTAAGGTGCTTTTTAAAAGTACATAATTTATAATTTACATGTTTTCTTTCTTGATCTCTGTAAATTTCTGAGAAAACCATACTATGCCTTTCATTTTTGTACCTCCATGGGTGTCATTTAATATTTTCTACAAAGTAACTTTAGAGGCACCTGCCCAAACAATAAAAATTTTTAACCAAACTAGATTATTGACATTTATAGACACATCTGTGGTATGTCAGTGGTCACAGTATTTCTCTGTGGTTCCAGCTATAAGATAATGGATTTGTGGATAAAGGAGAAAGAAGAGTGATTTTAATTTCTTTAAACTTTTCTTAACCAAAGTCTAAAAGTAAACAACTGGCAGTTTCTTTCTTGGGTGGGTGGTGGTTTCTCTTTTATCAGCAGCAGAATGTTCTGAACGCTTTGCCAGGAGTCTGCCTGCAAATGTCTTTGGTTGGTAGAGTGGGCGAGAATGTGCTCAACATGAGCTGTCGGTGGCCCCTCTTTCTTTTGTGGGTGCAGGCATCAGGAGCTCATGGAGGGTGAGTGGGTGGGAGGGAGAGACGCAGGGTGCCCAGGGTGAGGAGGGGCAGCTAGCATTGTGTTTGCATGCAGTGCCAGGATGGGAGGTTGTCCATCCCTGGAGGGTAGACTGTCAGTTACACGTGTGTGAATCAGGGAAATGCAGGGGGTGTTGGACCTCTTGAGGTTTTGCTCCCTTAGGGAGGAGGAGGGAGGCCAGGAATTGGGGGTAGGAGCCAAGCCAAGATAGCGCACAGAAGCAGGGCGACAGCCCCAGCAGGCAGCGACCATAAATACTACCGGAGTTTGGCCAGTCCCAAGCTGTTACTATGTCTCGCGTGCTGAACCTTCCTCTCTCTCAGGGTCTGTCTCCCCTCTGTCCCACCCCCCACCCTCCCCATCCCAGCCGCCCACTAATCCGACTTCTCGCCGTCGCCCTCCTGGTGGGTGTCACCGTCATGCCCTTTTTTGTCTTCCTTGGAGAGGTGGGCCTGGGAGCCCAGCGCCGACAGAGAGAGGAGGCCGGTGCCTGCGCTGACCGCCGGCAGGGAAGGAGGCTGCAGCCCCACAGGCAGGGGGGTCAGGGGCAGGGCCAGAGCCTGCAGCTGAGACAGCTGGTGGGCTTGGAGCTGCTGTCGGATGATGGAGTTCAGCTCAGGAGCAGTGACCTGCTTAGCCCTCTTGATGGCTCCCAAGACCTGCTGCTGGTGCTCTTGGGACAGGTAGGGCAGGACCTGGGCACATATCCCATTTAGCCTCTTGACGATTTCAGCCTGCTTGTGCATCTCGATGTTCAAGCCATAGGACATCTCGTAGTACATCATGTAATGACGCTGCATTTCTGACTTCTCGCTGGCCAGCTTGTCACATTCGAGTTTCAGACTGTGGTACTGAGCCTGCAGCAGTTGAAACTCATCTTTGATGCGGTCGCAGGAGTCCGAAGTAGTGAGTTTGAGTTGCTGGGGGAGGTGCGACGAGCCCTGCACGGAGGGGGCGGCGGCCCGGGTCAGGACCCCACAGGGCAGACATCCACCGCTCCCCCCGCCACGGAGGCCCCAAGGCGGCGGCAGGCGCAACTGCAGCGCCCCCCCACCCCTGCCCCACCAAAAGTATGCTTTTAATTACCTGCTTTTTATAATTCCTTACCCGGAATAGAATTGGGCTTTCCTGGTGACTCAGCTGGTAAAAAATCTGCCTGCAATGCAGGAGACCCAGGTTCAATCCCTGGGTTGGGAAGATCCCCTGGAGAAGGGAATGGCCACCACCTCCAGTATACTTGCCTGGAGAATCCCATGGACAGAGGAGCCTGGCAGGCTGCAGTCCATGGGGTCACAAAGAGTCAGACACGACTGAGCAGCTAACACTTTCTCTGAATAAATAAGTTTTTATAGTTACAAAACAGATTTTAAATGTAGTTCATTTTGATAGTATTTCATTATGCAATCTAGAGAATTTTTTTTAGTTGGTTTTTATTTTTGTTTTCAAAAGTTTTGTTTGTTTTTTTTAAAAACCAAATTTCAACTGAGTGAACTTTAAAAATCTTTTTGGCTTTGTTCAACAATTCATGATTCAGGCAGCACCCCCATCTAGCAGAAAGGAGCTCCAAGGAGCTGTACAAAATGAGACACTTTTATAGGAAAAGGAACAAGGAAGTTATACTGGCAAAAAGCAGGTTGGATGTGACCAAGGTCACTTTCCTTTAGGGGATGGCAGGGGTCTGTCAGGCAAATGACCTCACAGTGATTCCTGATTGAGTGGTTTAAGGTTCCATTTCTGGAAGAGGCCAAAACTGTAAGTTAAGTCTTGGTTTGGTGATGTGGGGCATAGCATAAGTGACTCCATTTGGGTGGGGCCTGTTTTGTTGTTTTTAACAGTCTTACAGATTAACTGTGATGACTGGTTAAAATAAGTGCTAGGCTTCCTATTGGTTATGAGGGAAGATATTAGAAATTTGTTATTTTTTCATCTTCATTTATACTTCCACTTATTTTCTACTGCTGGTTTGAAATGCAGTATATATAATATTTTGGAAGTCTCCTTGGTGGAGTAGCATCAAGGAATTTGCTTTGTTTTTCCACCCAGGAGACCACGGTAGTTTTTATATAGGTAGAAGCAGGCAGAGCCCTGGAGATCCATCTTGGCTGAACATCCTCTAGACTGGGATCAGAAGTTCTATTTCTGGTACTCGCTTAGCTCCTTCCTTGCTGCATGGTGCTGTCAGCTCTTTTCTGTTCAAGTCCTGAGTCTGTTTCCTCATTGATAAAATGGAGATAACAGTTATCCCAGTGAGCAAGATTCAGTATAAGGTTGCATCCCTTAGGTTCAGAAAGCTACCAACAGTTGGAATCTAACAGCTGAGGCAGCATACTGATAAATAGATCCAGAAATAGAGAGCTCAGAAACATACCCATACATTTGCTGAGAAAACATACGACAGGTGTGGCATTAAACTTCAGTGGAGGAGGAATGTACTGTCCAAAAAATGGGAAATGGGACAATTGGTTGTCTCCATGAGAAAAGGAAAATATAGTTAGATATCTTCCACACATGCAAATAAACAGCAAATGAAATAAAGATAAAGGCAAAAAATTGGGGATAGGTAAGATTCTTTACCGTCTGAGCCATCAGAGAAGCCCTATGTCTCCCTGTCTAACATATTGTCAAGTTGGTAACCCCAGACACAGCTTAACTTTTTCATATTTCAGAAAGAAAGATTTATGATTATCTGAAAAGATGGCATCTAGATTCAGGGCTCTGTTTCAGTTAATCTACAGATTCCTTTGCCCAGAGAATTCTGAGAGCATGGCTTTTGGGGAGAGGGCAGCTTACTGAACTACACACAGTATAGGTATTCGATCACCTGTCACCTCATCCTGTATGGGAACTTTAGTGCATTTTATTTGGAAACACATCCTAGCTATTGTTTGTAGATATCATGTTATTACAAAGCATAACGAGGTTTCTTCTGATACTAGTCCCAACAGTGTCATTTACATGTTGGGACCACGGACTGTCAAGGTCCTCATACCTGAGTTCTGTTAAATCAAGATAAGCTTCTCTCAAATCTTTTACAGCTTTCTCTAGACCTTGCTTTTTTCTTTTCTTTCACCATCTGTTGCAACCAGTTATTTTTACTGTAAGACATTTTTTTCTGTTTTTAAATGTAATTTTACTCTAAAAAATCTGATGTTCTATAGTTAGTGGGATTGATGGCAGATACGGAGATATAGGGGCTTCCCTGGTGGCTCAGATGGTAAAGAATCTGCAATGCAGGAGACCCAGGTTCAGTCCCTGGGTCAGAAAGTGGATACCCACTCTGGTATTCTTGCCTGGAGAATCCCATGGACAGAGGAGCCTGGAGGGCTATAGTCTGTGGGGTCACAAAGAGTCAGACACAACTGAGCAGCTAACACTCATTCATAGAGATACAGTGACCCCCATATAAATAAGAAAGCTGTACTGTTGCCTTGCTCTAATTTTAGGTAATTCCAGAAGGGCAAGGCCTTGTTGGAGGACATCTTAGATAGATTTTAATGACTGTCCTTTCGTGTTTTAACCTATAGGAAGCATTGGTTCCTTTAGTGGCCCTTTTGCTGTTGTATTTTGAAGTGCCCTTATCTAAATCTCCTAAATCTTAGAAGACAAATCTTTTGGTTGTTTTATCTAGTGAGACAGAAGTTGTATTAATTTCCAACTTAATTCTTAAAGCTCTCTGGAAATGTCTAGTCATATAAGTGAACATTTTATAAATTGGTAGTTTTACATTTTATTTTGATTAAATCTTTTTATTCAGCTTTGAACCTGTTTATAATAACAGGACAATATACTCTCTGCTTCAGCTGTTGGGTACAACCAAGAATACTGTTTGAATTTTTTTTCATCTTTATTTAGTTTGCAATTTTGAATCTTTGCTAGGTATAATCTTAATGAAAGCCTGCTAAAATGGTGTGATGTGTTGTATTTTCTTTCTTTCTTTTAAAATGTTACACAGTTGGGTTATTTAAATCTCTTGCTGCGTTTTTCTGTATCTGAGGGGCTAACAGTTAACCTAATGAGTCCCATGCGGTAGTATATTAAAAATACCTATATTCTGTAGCAAATTCTGCCTTCCTAAACTTGGCGAAAATCCTTAAGTATAGCCCTTAACTTTGTTCTACACCTGAGTTTTAATTTGATTGCTATAGATCTGGCTTATGACATAGTAACATTACAAGGTAATTTTATTTTTTGAGAAAATCTTAAAGAAAGGGTGGCTTGTATATTAACAGAAAATAAGGCAAAACAATAGAAAGAGAAAAATTCAAGAGTGATAAGTGTCAGAATGTTAAAGTTTTTGAGAGATTATTTTAAAATAAAAATTTTGTTTTGAGAGATACAGTGACCCCCATATAAATAAGAAAGCTGTACTGTTGCCTTGCTCTAATTTTAGGTAATTCCAGAAGGGCAAGGCCTTGTTGGAGGACATCTTAGATAGATTTTAATGACTGTCCTTTCGTGTTTTAACCTATAGGAAGCATTGGTTCCTTTAGTGGCCCTTTTGCTGTTGTATTTTGAAGTGCCCTTATCTAAATCTCCTAAATCTTAGAAGACAAATCTTTTGGTTGTTTTATCTAGTGAGACAGAAGTTGTATTAATTTCCAACTTAATTCTTAAAGCTCTCTGGAAATGTCTAGTCATATAAGTGAACATTTTATAAATTGGTAGTTTTACATTTTATTTTGATTAAATCTTTTTATTCAGCTTTGAACCTGTTTATAATAACAGGACAATATACTCTCTGCTTCAGCTGTTGGGTACAACCAAGAATACTGTTTGAATTTTTTTTCATCTTTATTTAGTTTGCAATTTTGAATCTTTGCTAGGTATAATCTTAATGAAAGCCTGCTAAAATGGTGTGATGTGTTGTATTTTCTTTCTTTCTTTTAAAATGTTACACAGTTGGGTTATTTAAATCTCTTGCTGCATTTTTCTGTATCTGAGGGGCTAACGGTTAACCTAACGAGTCCCATGCAGTAGTATATTAAAAATACCTATATTCTGTAGCAAATTCTGTCTTCCTAAACTTGGTGAAAATCCTTAAGTATAGCCCTTAACTTTGTTCTACACCTGAGTTTTAATTTAATTACTATAGATCTGGCTTATGACATAGTAACATTACAAGGTAATTTTATTTTTTGAGAAAATCTTAAAGAAAGGGTGGCTTGTATATTAACAGAAAATAAGGCAAAACAATAGAAAGAGAAAAATTCAAGAGTGATAAGTGTCAGAATGTTAAAGTTTTTGAGAGATTATTTTAAAATAAAAATTTTGTTTTGAGGTCTCAGCATATCAGTTGAAGAAGCTAACTATAGGCTGTGTTGTTTTGTCTCCTAGTTTTTCAGCTCCTTTTATACATTTTAGTTATTATTTTAACATATCAAAAGTTTCCCATAATGGCCAGTGTTGTACTAAGTTAAAACTTTCTTTGCCATTTACTAAGGAAAGTGTGAGAGTTAGAATTATAAAGAATTTTTATATGAGAAGCTGAAGTTCCTCCAGAAGGAGGTTGATCCTTTAGCATAGCATGACACGTAGAGGCCGCTTTGGCTCGTTAGTAGTGTACCTTTGTGGATGGTGTCTGAGGTCACCTGACCAAGCAGAGGCTAGGAAGGGTCATATGGTCAGAGACCTGCCAGTCACCGACTGCAGAATACAAAATAATAAAATGACCTTTTTTCACAAATGGCAAGATAGGGATTGCCCTCATGAAGAGCGCAATTTCTATATAACATTCAGTTCAGTCGCTCAGTCTTGTCCGACTCTTTGCAACCCGATGGACTGCAGCATGCCAGGTTTCTCTGTCCATCACCAACTCCCAGAGCTTGCTCAAACTCACGTCCATTGAGTTGGTGATGCCATCCAACCATCTCATCCTCTGTCGTCCTCCTCCTGCCTTCAGTCTTTCCCAGCATCAGGGTTTTTTCCAGTGAGTCAGTTCTTCCCGTCAGGTGGCCAAAGTATTGGAGTTTCAACTTCAGCATCAGTCCTTCCAGTGATGAATATTCAGGATTGACTGATTTGATCGCCTTGCAGTCCAAGTCAAGAGTGTTCTCCAGCACTGCAGTTCAAAAGCATCAGTTCTTCAGTGCACTAAAGAATCCGCCTACAGTGTGGGAGCCGCAGGAGACATGGGTTCGATCCCTGGGTTGAGAAGATCCCCTGCAGAAGGGAATGGCAACCCACTCCAGTATTCTTGCCTGAAGAATCCTATGGATAGAGGAGTCTATATAACATAAAATGTGTTTATTGAACGTACACTTTTGTCCCCACTGTATATTCAGGGTGTTTTAAATACATTCTGATTTTGTTCTCAAACTTTATATATATATAAATGTGTATATATAAACACATATGTGTATATATGTAATATATACTTATATATATTTATATATGTTGTGTATAATTTTTTGAATATTATAAATTCACTTTCAAATTTGTTCCATATGAACAGAATCAAAACCAAAGGTGTTCTTAGATGTTTTTCATCCTGAGACAGCGAATGATTTGGTAACAAGCAGCTTAAGCATAATGTGTGTTAAAGTGGAACTAAAATAAGATTGATATCCAGCTTTCTTTTGAATCTGTTTCTCATTTTTAATCTTATGTATTCCTTTAGAAATGAGTTGCACCATTGAGAAGGCACTTGCTGATGCTAAAGCCCTTGTTGAAAGATTGAGAGATCATGACGATGCCGCGGAATCTTTGATCGAGCAAACCACAGCTCTCAACAAGCGAGTAGAAGCTATGAAACAGGTTTGATTTTTTTTTTCCCCTGTTGATTCCATTTTTAAAAGGCAGTCATTGACATTTATGTGTTACTTTTATTATGAACTTCTGCTTAACTAGTATTTTATTTTTAATGTTTTCTGAAGTTTAAAAGTAGCTTGACTTGTATGTTTTAGCTTACTTCAGATTGAAATATAATTTTGTCAAGGTCAACTGACTTGGATGTGTGTATATATATATCTTCTAAAACTTGTAGATTTGATCACTTAATTTCCTACAGTGATGCAGATTTGAGTTTGGAAAATACATGAATTTTTTTAGGTCTAAATAATTTGATAAAGACGAGATAGTGTCTTTTACTAATAGTGACACATATTTTGTTCTGTCTCCTATTTTTATAATGTAGAAATATTTTTATAGGAATATTTTGGGGGTGCTGTTTAATAACAAAATAGTTTTTGAAGACATGCAAAGCAATATCTTGTTTTCACCTTTTGCAGTTACTGCATTTGTGTGTGTGTGCATGCTCAGTTGTGTCCAACTCTTTGTGACACCATGGACTATAACCCACCAGGCTCCTCTGTCCATGGGATTTTCTAGGCAAGAATACTGGAGTGGGTTGCCATTTCCTACTCCAGGGGATCTTCCCAACCCAGGAATTGAACTTGCATTTCCTGCATTGGCAGGTGGATTCTTTACCACTGAGCCACCTGAGAAGCCCTATTCATTTATACTTGCTACCTTATTTTTCACTTACTGCTGCCAATTAAGGAAGAAATGAAAAGGGCTTCACTTCTTGTTATCCTTACTATTATGTATAAGAACTTTCCAGTGGGCTATGAAGTTGAACTACTATTTTAAGCCCTCTTTTGATTTTAACTTTAAGTTAAGATTTTAACTTTAAGAGAACTATAGAATCTCTGAAACTGTGATGGAAATCACTGTAGGAAAATATATATTTATAGCTTACTCTCGGGAAGCCCATCTCTTTTGTAAAAGGAAGCAGCAACCTGGGGGTACTGATTTTAACAAAGCTGCTGAAAAAGTGAAGCAAGTTTACCTATTGGATTAGCCGAAAAGTTCATGTGGGTTTTTCCATGACATCTT